TCTTGTACTTCTTGTACCTCTGGTTGACCAAGGCAGCCTACCTGAGTGCAGCAGTCTGGGTCAGGATACATAGTACATGAGTTCTGTTTAGAGAGGAGAAGGTCTGATCAGCTCCCTGCCTGAGAGGACACTGGGTTAACCAATCATCCTGCATGAGGTTTATCATCAGCTTCTCTTCTCTCAGAATCAAGATGACGACTTCATGGAGCGACCGTCTGCAGAACCACGCTGAGCTCCCTGCCAACATGGACGGTGTGACCATGAAGAAGTACCGCCGAGAAGCTCACCAAAGGTGTGTGTGTGTGTGTGTGTGTCTTTGTTATTGAAATAAAGTGTCTGTGAGTACTCTATGAAGTTCTGAAACATTTAGTGGGCGTGCAAACCAAATCAGTCACATCTCATCCGCTATTTCAGAAACCTCAGATTCTAACTGTTTATGACATGTCTCAATCCGACTCGTCACTCTCCAGATCTCAATCCTCTCACTTGCAGAAATCATTTTTTGGTTAGATAGGGATATTAAATTATGACTTTTACCATCTGACCAAAAATCTGTTCCTCTCTTAAAAGATTATCCGCACTTTTGCAACAGTTTTCCCCATGTGGTTATATCCATGTACCATGTACCCATGATCGAGCCATTTGTTTCACTTGCAACGACATGTGATATTATAAAAGTTTAAAATAATGAACAGGGAAAATGCAACAAAACTTTGAATAACATATTTTGTTACTTTAAATCTCGTACACTACACATATTTCCTGACTGCAATACATATAGAAACCAAGCCAGCCTTAAAGTTTAACGTAATACCAGGCTGAAAGCAGAGTTCTTGCACCTCTGTGGAAATAAATGAAGTTTACTGGGTACTGAATTGTAGTAGAAAATACTTTATTCTCTGACAAAAACAGCTGACCATGGCCATGTAGCATGACCTCAGTGGTAATACTCCATGTACCTTAATTTTCGGACTATAAGGCGCACCTGAATATAAGCCGCAGCAGCGGCATACTACTCTCGGTTCCACTTTTACTTTTGCGCGCTACCTGTCTCACTCTTTTCCGGCCTCCAGCTTTTCCTGCTGGAACCCGCCGCTTAAAGGTGGGGGTCCGCGGACCGGCCATAGAGCCCATAGAGTTAAAGTTGTTGGCCGTTAGCTGTAAAAATCCATAGATTAGCCGCACCGTTATATAAGCCGCAGGACGCTGCGGCTTATATAACGGTGCGGCTAATCTATGGATTTTTACAGCTAACGGCCAACAACTTTAACTCTATGGGCTCTATGGCCGGTCCGCGGACCCCCACNTAAATTTTTTTTTTTTTTTTTTTAGAAGGACCCCCTCGTACGGTGACCTGGGGATCTCCTCCAATCCAGGGGGGGTGAATTAGTACAAGTATACCTGTGATTTATGTAAACGGTGTGTAGAACACAGGTCATAGAAGGACAAAACCACTAGTACCGGTGTGGCACGCTGGGGGCCTTCGGCCTATTTAATATGTAACTCAGTTACCTCTCTCTCTTTTCAGTAAGAAGCTAAGGCAAACTTAACACGGTGCCTATACTGTGTACTACAAACAGTTAAATCTTCTTGCAAACGTTCAGTTTTTTTATCTTTTACAACAGACACTTCAATGTGTAAAAAAACACACTTTGGGCGAGTCACTAGATGTCCAGAGACCAGAGCGTGTAAGCGCAGGTGGTAGCGGTTTCTACCGGCAGTGCAATCGTTTAAAGTGGATAAAGAAAAGTCTTACTCCGCTTTTTCATATTTTGCTCCACTTTTAGTGATGTTCAGACCGGTACAACTCGTCGACCATGTATGTGCTTTCCCTCAATCAGCGCAAGACGTTCTCGGTCGTACGCCCCTGGCCGAAATGTTCCCAAAGCCAAAAACACCAAAGTCACCCTCATTATACTCACGTTACAAATTTGCCAATATACAAGGTCGATTCAATTTGTAATCGATTGCTCCCATGGTGACTTTGCACAACAACAAAAATCGTTGATCAAAAGAGGAATTCTTGAAAACACCAGAGACATAGACGCACCTATTGTAATCACAAGTGGTTCTTGTTTATATGTGGGCCACAAAACAAAATCAACGAGAAGTCTACACTTCGCCCGGTGAAAATATAGCTGCCATATACACACTAGAGTTTGAATGCAATGTAGAGCAACACAGTAAACTATAACAACACACGCCATATGTTCTTAAAACCAAATAGATCCGGTGTCGACACACACATGTACTTGGGAGATACAATGCTCTGTCAATACACAAAAGGATTACCATCGCTCCGTAACTACAATTATATTATTTTGATGTGTCGACCTGAGATTTTTTAGGTCACTTTGGTGACAGGGTGAGCACTACAGGATAACAATGTAGTCTACAAAAAGTTTTTCATGATAATTACTAAGTAGTAATACGATATATTTGTCGACGTGCTAGTGTCTGGACTCAGAGACTAGGATGACACCTATGGTGGCTAAGAGCTGCTGACACTAGACAATTGTAGTAGTTAGGGCAATTGGGCTGTTAACATTCTGGAACGTCGTACCTTTAAAGAGTTGAGGACAAGACCATAAGCTCTAATATGTGGTGTCTGTAGAACAACGGTCATCTGGCTCTTACTATTCGTAAATGTCCATTTGTAAGAGACATTGTTGGGAGCTTCTGAGACGCATCAAAGCATATTACACTCAACAATACTGTCTCCCTGTCCCATTTTGTCTTTGTGTCGGTCTAACCCTAACACCACCTCTACGAACTCCGTCAATAAATTAACAACGTCACATTACATAATAATATGACACGAAGAATCAATAGGTAGAAAAGCGACATTGTACCTAGAACATACACTTGAGATTTATAAAATGAACAATCCGCATGGACTTGAAAGGGACACCGTGTAGTGTGATGTGGTCAGTACATGGGATGTACTACACATATATCTATATCATATAACATTTGATTAGACATTTCACATATTAAAATAAAAGATAAACCCCTAACAACCTTTGCAGAAAAACCTTAGAACGGATATTGTGGTTTTGACTCATTCTAACTCGTTTACTTTGTAACTGAAGAGAGCTGTCCACTTTGGCCGCGGCTTCATATATTAGCATAAGAAATCGGCTTTTATGCACAACTGACAACAGTCGTACTTAGGTTTAACTTTGCCAACTGACCTTGATGTTGATGCGTGAAATTTAGAGATGCTGACAAAAAGTCACCCATCACACTACCAATCAACAAAAGTCAAGGGACCTGACTAATCTGTCGATTCGAGGGAAAAAACACGGTGGTTTTGTGGGGACAGAAAGTACAACTTTTTACCGGTCGACGTATAAGACGAAAGAGTGCCCGAGGGACACGACGACGCAGATGTTACTCTTTTAATAATGTTAATTAAATGATTCTTAGTTAAATTTGGACATAATGGCTTATTAAAGTGTTTAAGAGTACATTTGCACTTCCTCGTGTCGAAATACAACTCCCCATAAAGTTGAAAACGAACCCCAAGAGCAATGACCGCCGTCATGTACCTACAGCCCACGCTCAGGTGGTCTATTAAAACGCTCAACTTCCGTCTTACTTAAATAATAACTGAGTCTTCCTTCCGTATGCATACGTTGTTATGTAACTGAAATCAAGAGTGTTATGATTTTTTTTTTTTTTTAAATTATTGAGGTTAATAGCATCAATCTGGTGCACTTTGAGAGCAACATGAGGAGATCTATGGATACATCTCTCAACACCCATTTGAAACAGAACTGTAAGCAGATTTTTCTTTTTGGATATTTTACAAATCACTTATCTTTAACAACTTTTTTGTTACTGTCATATAGTATTTTATACCTGTTTTTCATTTAGTCTCTAATGTCTCATTAATAATTATAATGATCATATCAAGGTGTGCCTTAACCTCACTGAGCTGAGGTTATTTGAGCCTCTCAGGAGAGAGCTCTCTTCCACCTGGTTGTAGAAAAGCTCTATAAATTCACCAGCATAGCTAGCTAACCAGATGCTAATAACAACAGATCGCCACTGTGCTTACAACTAAAGACACAGCCACGCAAACACTGCAGCATGTGTACGGCTCCTTATGGGTACTGCAATATTTGAAGAGCTGGAGCGGCGGTCCGGTGCTCTCCGTAAGCACTCTATACTCCTTTCAGACGAGACATAACGTGTTGTGTTCAAGGAACCTGTCCTTGGCCAGGAAAAACAGGCACTCGCTTGTTTAATTATTTTGCGATCTAGATTTCTTCGGACTAACGGACGGACGGACCCCCCCCCCCCAAAACGAAAACTCTTCTGTTGAGCGTTAAAAAAGCAGGAGGCGCCGAAAAGCGACTAATTTGCATCACTGAATCAATATTAAATCAAACTATTGTTCGTTTATACATTTTAAGAATGGCGTTTATCTTTTTTGAGAATTAGTTCTTATTTTATTTGAGTCTACAACAGATGATATAAATGTTTGTGTCAGTAAATGTGTACTACCAGAGGCGGGGGTGTGTGTGGAAATAACGGGGACAGAGCTGGCTGCTGTCAGACGATCAGCTGTGCAGCGTCATCACAAACGGTGACGCTCCGGAGGAAAGGACTTCCCATTGCTCTTAAAACTCATTTCCCTGCTTCTCGTGGTTTCCTTGCATCTCACCATGCTTCCCTGGTGGGAGGGACTGGTCACAGGGAAACGACGCAAGTGAGGGACGCAAGGATTCCATTTAACCGAAGTGAGAAGGGCCCCAGGCCTCAGGTTTTCCTAGGATCCTTATCGTAGCATTATGTGTCATTTTAAAACCAGGTTATGAGAAAATGACAAACATTAAGGGTTAAGTTTTGGAGTCACAGAAAGTGCAGTTTTATTGAAAAGACATTGTTGAAAGACAAAACTTGACTAAAAAGGTCTACAAGTTTAACACATAAGTATTTACAAAATGGGAATTCACAATGGGTATGAATGGGTTTGCATGTTGTTGTCCGTTTTATATTTTGTTGATGCTGGCAGCCGGCAGGGTGGATTTGTCCAAGTCATCAAAGTATGGGTGAGCCATGGCCTCACGGGCTGAGATCCTATTGGGAGGGTTGTAAATCAACATTTTCTGCAGTAAAAAGACAAGAGCAGGAGGTTAGAGGTGACCATGGTCACCATGAGCTTTTAGAACTCTGCGGGAAGTTTTCCAAACATATTTTAGTTTAAACAAGGTTTGTCCTGATCCAATCTCAAGCATAATTCGTGGGCCATTGTTTATGTCAGCTGTCCCACAGGAGGTTATACTTGTGAAGCTGGCTGGTACGTCTCGTCTTTTGCTAGCATGTACGGCAGGGCTATTCAATTGGCGGCCCACGGACTGGTCTGATTTTCATGAAACTTGGTGGGAGGCTGACCGAGGGCCAGGAAAAAAAAGATAATTGCATTCTGAAGTGAATCAATTCATAAGACGAGGCATTAAATTAAGAATATTCACATTAATGGCACCTTCAAGTTGGAACAAAACACATTTGCACACACAGGGTATATGCAGGAATCCTGAAGTCAAATGTAAGACCTTTAAGACTCTTTCCATACATTTTAAGACCTCATCGCCACTTCAAATTTTAACCGGTTACATTGGCGACACACTTTACCTCACATTTACTATATACAGTATTGATTGTCCTTCCTCCTTATCTTCCAACCATTTGGACACAGACTTGCATTCCCCATAACAATGTTGTTTAACAACCGGCGTAAACGGACCTTCGCGCGCTATCAAGCAGTGAGCGTGCGATGTCCTGTTCAGATGACGTCCAATCCAACGGGATGCCATAAATAAACTACACAGAATCACACTACACACCTACGCAATGATTACATTCAGGCAGACTGTAGAATACAACCTCTTTGGACGATTCATATACTTATTGAAAACAAGCTACAACATTTAATACCTTGGAATATGCTGTTTAATACTTTATAATAGCCTTAATTTTCGCTAAATTTATTTATCAACTTTTAATAGGGTTAGGCTTTTTAAGACCCAGCGGACACCCTGACACAACTTGAGATCGTATTTCGCAGAAACATGGAGGACAAAATTAAATGTTAAAAAATACATCACCTTCTCTTTATCGTACATGTTATTTTCAAAACAACAAAGAGCTGATGAACACACTGAATTTGGGAGAACAAATCCCCAACACCAGGGACGTGCACAGACATTTTGGGGGGCGGGTGCTCAAGTGAGAAAAAGGGCACTTCCCATAATCATTTATAAAAAAAGTGTTTTAAAACTAAAAGTTAAATATAGTTGCACATCTCTGACTTACTGACCAATTTATTTTAATACCCTCACACTCACGCAATTGTTTAATACTCAACAGAATTCTAAAAAATAAATGCGCTTGCCTCTTAACAATTTAAAAAACTGCTAAATGTACAAGTGTTTTTATGAAGTTGATGAGCGTATATAACAAAAGGTCCTTAATAAGTGCTTTGCGACACTAATGTGTAACGGATAATATTAACGTGTGTAATAAAAGTGTTAACGAAAGTAATCGTGCCGGGGGGGTCTTTCAGCCGCGAACCTTTTTAACGCAAAAAGTCGGTAAAAATTCCTTTACAAAAACTTTGAAGGAGGAATCCCATACTAACCTTTTTAAGGTGTAGGCTCCTTGTTTAAGTTGGGGATAGGTTAAGTACTCAATTTAACGCTTCTTTTTATCAACGATTCGAAGTTTGCCCCTCGGAGCGATTCGATTTGCCTCTTACATGGTAAAAACTGTTAATTACGTCTATTGGATGACTGTTGCGACGGACAGACGGACGTTTAGGTTGAGTGTGTATGTAGTGTGTGTGTGTGTGTTGTGTGTGTGCTGTGGTGTGTGTGTGTTGTGTGCGTGTGCGTGTGTTGTGTGTTGTTGTTGTGTGTGTGACAAACAGGTTGTTGCGGAAACGACCCCCGTATAAGTAAATGTTGTCTGTGGTATGTTAAGGGATTGGGATTGGATGACAAAATAAACATTATAGAGGATTTCCGGAATGTTTATTTTCACACTTTACAACCCGACGGACATGTATATAATAACTTGCTATATATAATATGTGTGACAAGGACCAAAGCGTGACTGGAGTTCGTCGACAAGAGTGACATTTTATAGCGCAGTGTTACTTTCGTCAACATAATTTTTTTCTATCGGATTTGTTAAGGGTCCCTCTAACATTAATCACTCATTATTTGACTTTCCCGTCTTTCAGACTCACGTATAAAACATAGTAGAAGTTTATTTCGAAATAATTTAGTGTTTGGCCCTTGTCAAACGTCTCGACAGAAGCAACTTAATTCAGGTCGGTACTGGAAGTGCGGAGAAAATTGTAGTGACAAACCACTTTTAACTGAGGCCTCCTATGTAGGGAGCCAATATTCGAGGAGGTCTGCTCTGAGGAGAGAGGAGATGTAGCAAACATGGGAGCCAATATCGAGGAGGTGTCTCCTGGAGGCGAGGGGATTTAATCGACATAGAGGGCCAATGCGCGTGGACAGGTCTGTCGGAGGAGCTTATAGCCCTAGGAGCTGCTCGGAAAGCTCCTTTAAACAAAAGGAAGCGCTCTGGACAGCGCGGTTGGTACGCAAAGGCCAGTTCAGCCTCCTGGCCCCTGCGCTTTTAACTCTTCTACTGTTTGTTGATTAAAGGCTCCTGAAGCGCCGGCGCGCACAGACGAACTTGCGCCTGCTGGCCTGACGGGAGGGCTGTCCGGTGCCTGCGCTTCCGGGCGAGTGTGACGCCGCGCTTGTTCCACGCTGGGCGTCCGCGAAATTGAAACCAACACCGAACGAAGTAAATATTGATATTATAAATGATTCATACAACAGGACGAGAACGACGTAACAACTTATGGATTTACTTCTGGTAACAGAGACACAAGTTGACTGAATATCCCGCCTGACAACGCGACCACTCCCTCACACAGCAGAAAGTTGGTCTTCCAACACCCAAAGCTAGGGTCCCGGGTCGTCAGTGTACAACTACGATAGGAACCCGGATTCTATGATTGGACTCAACGACAAACTCGAACCGAGGCGCTACCGTACCGGTTGCCGACACACTTACACACACTTACAAATCCAGGATCTCATTTCCCATGTGCCGAGACATACTTACCCACCACTTACCCCACTTTCCTGTACATCATACATTTCGCGCGAAACTCCCCAGAATTTCTGACCCTATTTCGCGATATA